GCGTTAAGACCTTGCGCAGCTGACGTCTCAGATCCTCCCTCATAACGGAAATAGCGGCGCCAGTATCGATGAGGGCTGTTGTTCCAACGTTGTCGATTGTAACAAAAATCTGATTATGAGGGGTCAATGAACGTTTGCGAAGAGGATTTCTTACCAATGATTCATGAGCAGCCTCACCTCTCGAAGCTGCATTGCTTAGTTTTCCGATTGACGGGCGACATGGGCTGGGGAGATGGGGCGGCGGGGGGTGGGGGACAATGATTGGCGGCGACGTGGAGATGGCGAGCGGTTGTATGTAGGACGAGTGGTGAACTGTTCTTCGTCTTGAGGGTTGGGGCGGGGAGGTTCATAAAACTGGTGACCAAACGAAGACCGATAGCTGTTCGATGCGAATGTGCGTGGGCGGTTGTTCCACTGGTTGCGGCAGTATCGTGCAATGTGTCCAACGGCGTTGCATTGGAAACATATAGGTCTGTTGTCAGGTGTCCTCCATGCTGCAGGGTCACGCCGGTTTGGTGAAGTGTTGAGGGGAGGGGAGTCATAATCCGACCGTGTGAAAGAATTCCGACGTCCAGGTGCGTATGTTGGAACATGAAGTCGGTTGATTTCCTGTCTTATGACTGCTTGGACGGCAGATACCGGGAGGACCGGCTCTTGCTGTTCAGTAGGCCGGGTGAAAGTATTAACAGGGAACATGGCTTCAAGTTCTCGGCGGATGAGCTTTGCTATGTGGTCCGATTGAAGGCTGGTGTCTTCACATGTGGATGTTGGTGTCGTGTTGGGGAGGCGCACAAAATTTGCGGTGATTCGTCGTTTTTTTGCTTCTTCAAAGCGTCGGCACTCTTTGACAACGTCCTCCATTGTTGTGCAGTCTTTGAAGACGAGTAGCTGGAATGCGTCGTCCGCGATACCTTTCAGGACGTGGGGGAGCCTTTCCGAGTCGGGCATGTTGGGGTCCGCTTTCTGGCAAAGGGACAGGATGTCCTGTATGTACGTCATGTACGACTCCGTAGGTGACTGCACACGTGAAGCGAGTTTGCGTTTAGCGGACAGCTTGCGACCAGTGGGGTCGCCAAAAAGATGCTGGAGTTTCTCTTTGCACATGTCCCATGATGTGATTGTTTCCTCATGTGTGAGAAACCATGTGCGGGCAGTGTCCTTGAGGTAAAACACAACGTTGGCAAGCATAATGATTGGATTCCATCTGTTATGCTGGCTGATTCGCTCGTAGAGAAGAAGCCATTCTTCAACGTCCTGTTCACCGGATCCAGTGAAGTTTCCTGGGTCACGCGGTTTGGAGAGGACCAAGGGAGGGGTTTGAGCGGTTTGACCGGCGTCTCTGGATGTGGTGTCACGAGACATTTGAGCTTGCGGGGGAGGGTCTTGTGGGGGTTCAGTGTCCGTAGTGATATCCGACGGTCGGGAAGGTGCTCGATAGGGTGGGTGACACTCAGTAGCTGGTGTGTCTATGGAGATCTCAGCTTCCGGAGGCGGAAGCTGGCGGCTCCGGAGGTCCAGCGTGGGCAGCGGAGAGGTAGGGAGATGGTGTCCACCTCCACCAAAATGTTACGTTGATAATGAAAATGATTTACTATACAGTGAAGAGAATTAGAAACACAGATATGGTGGTTAGTCCTTCAGAGCGTGCACCGCCGGCATCGTCCTCTTTTTTCCACCATCGGCGTCGTCTTGCCGCATCTTCTTCTTCGTCACAATATGAAGACAGTTTCATGCACCATCTGGTCATCCGTGGAGACAGGACTTGAGCCGTCGGTTTTTTTGGGCCCAGAATGCCCAGCAAAGGTTGATGGTCAGTGATGAATGTCACTTTCCTTCCCACAATATACTTGTGGAATTTGTGGGCTCCAAACACCACTGTGAGGCCCTCTCTGTCCAGTTGGGCGTAGTTCCGTTCTGCTGGTCCAAGGGTACGTGGAGCGAAAGCAATCAATGCCTCTTGCCCCTGGTCGTCACGTTGAGAAAGGATTGCTCCGACGCCGTAAGGTGAAGCGTCGCAGGACACAAAAAGTTCTTTCCTTTCGTCGTAGTGCGCCAGTACTGTCTGCTTGATGAGCAAGCTCTTCAGTTGTTCAAATGCTTCCTGGTGCCTGTCTTTCCATCTCCACACAGTGTTCTTCTGAAGGAGTTCATAAAGACAGCTGGCGATAGCTGCCCTGTCTTTCAGGAATCTGTCGTAGAATGCAAGCATTTTGAGAAATGTCTGTAAGGCCTGTTTACAAGTCGGCGCTGGAGCATCCACAATGGCTCGAACCTTCTCCTCTGTAGTGTGGACGCCCGATTCGTCAATTCGGTGTCCCAGAAAGAAGACCTCCCGAACCTTGAAGCAGCATTTGTCTTTTGCAAGGCGTAGATTGAACTTCTCCAGTTGTTTCAGAACAGCTTCCAGTCCCGTGGCATCCTCTGTGGCATCCCTTCCACCGACGATCACATCATCCAGGTATGTGCATACACTTGGGAGACCAGTCAACATCGACTCCATGAAGCGATGGGATATGGCTGGCGCCGCCGAAATCCCAAATGGAAGCCGTTAGACCTTGTAAAGTCCTTTCAGCGTGTTGAGGTTCAGGACCTCTGCTGTCTCAGGAGTTATGCAGAGCTGTTGATAAGCCTGGGTCAGATCGAGGGTGCTGAATACCTTGCTTCCTGTCAAGCTTCTGATGGCTTTGTTTGATGTCGGCAGTGGGTAAGCTGCCCTTTTAGCTGCTAAGTTCACTGTGCAGCTGTAATCGCCACAGATGCGTAGCGTGCGGTTCTTCTTACATACCAATACCAGGGGCGTTGCCCAGTTTGAGTGCAGAGGTGGCTCTATTATGCCCTGGTCTTGCAGTCGATCCAGTTCAGCTTCTACAGCTGATCGCAAAGCAAAGGGGACCGACCATGCTTTCAAGAACTTCGGTGCTGTGCCCTCGAGCTGATCAAGTTGTACTGCAGGACCGACATGTCCTGTGATGTCTTCGCCGAACACAGACTGGTACTTGTCTCGCAGCTTGGAGACAAATTTGCCGTCCGACACATCATTGATTCCAGCGATGTCTATCCCGAGGTGTGAAAACCAGTTCCACCCTAGAAGGTTACTCTCGGCTCCTCTGACAACCAAGAGTGGCAATTTGCAGGTCTTGCTTTTGTGTGTTACCTGCACGTCTGTGGTACCCAATACTCGAAGCGACTGGCCGGACCACGTGCGCAGGAGACTTTGCTGGTTTCCAGCCGTGGCGGGTCGTTAGTCCATGTGGAGCCGAATGTTGCTTCACTGATGAGCGTGCAGGCTGCTCCTGAGTCGACTTCGAAGGTGAGGCGCTTGTTGTCAACCGACACTTTCAGTGTGAACTTCGGCGCGCTGTAGCAGTTGGCACCGAGTTGAGCTCGTACAGTGTCGACGTGTTCACTGAGCGTTGGTGACTGACGTCTGGTGCAGTTGTCTGCAGCAAGGTGTGTGGTTGCTCTATGCTGTGGTTCTTGTGCGAGCTGTCTGTGTCTTTTCGTTTTTTGATGCACGCTTTTTCAATGTGCCCAATTTTCTTGCAGTAGTTGCAGGAGGCTGTCGTAAATCTACAAGTATCCGGGCTGTGCTGTGCGTCGCACCGCCAGCAGCGTTGAGCGTTCCGAGCTTTTAGACGGTTTCTGGGCCGATCTTCGTTCCGTGTCTGGCAGCTAGTTGCACTTGCCTTGTGCACGTCTTTGAATTCCGACTTCACCTTTTTCAGGGGCGAAGCTCCTTAGGGGCTAGCCATGTCCGTACGTCCGTCCGCTGTCTGATGCACGTGCTCCTGCTGGTGAGCTCACGGGCTCACGAGCACGTGCTTGTGTAGGGAAAAGAAAAAAGCCGCATCTCCACGTGGTGAATGATGTTGATTGGGGCGAAGCTCTGGTGGTCCTTGTCTGCGTAGACGGTGAGCCGCAGCATGCCGAGCCTTTCGTTCGTTTTCATCCATGTCAGAAAGAGAATGTGTAGTATGGAACGTGGTTACATACGCATTTGAGCATTTGACCGCAGCGTGACATGGATGAAAACGAACGAAAAGCTCGGCATGCTGTGGCTCAGCGTCTACCCACACAAGCACCAGCAGAGCTTTGCCCCAATCAACAGCAGTCGCCACGTCGAGGTGCGTTTTTTTTATCCTCTATGGCATTCTCTGCTCTCAGGGCGAAGTCGAAGGCCTTCTGAAAGGGTAAGTCTTTTTCAGCGAAGAGGTGCTGCTGCACTTGCTCGCTCCGCAGGCCACACACGAAGCGATCCCGCAGCATCACTTCCAGGAGAAGGACAGTCGGGTTTGTCGCTTGATCTGCGCTGGTACCAAAGTTACAGTCCGCAGCGAGCTTCTTCAGGGCTGTCTTGTAAGCACTGACCGTCTCGCCGACCTCCTGGTCGCGACGTTGTAAGCGTGCTCTGCTGAAGACTTCGGAAGGGGTCGGGTCAAAGTGAGCCTTCAGAAATTGGACGATCTCGTCGAAGGTCACCTGGCTTGGCTGCTTGGGTTGTACGAGCACGCAGACCACGTCGTAGGTCTCCACCCCGCACAGTGTCAGCAGGTGCGCACATTTCTGCAAGCGTCCTTTACATCGTTAGCCTCGAGAAAAAAAAAACTGGAGCCGCCTGTACCAGGATTTCCATGAGCTGGAGCTGCCGTCGAACTCTGGAATGCGACCAAACTCAGGCATGTCCATGGCGTTGCGCTGGTGGGCATTCTTTGTCGAGGCAGGGTGTCTGGTGGGTCGTGAGTTTCCCTTGTCGGCAATTGTTATGTCAGAACAGCCATAGGTAATGGCTGTTCCGACACTGAGGAACAAGACTGACCCTATGGCCGTTACAGTCGGGAGCCAGTGGTCGAATGCCTCAGTCCGGGGGGCCACACTCAAAAAGCGCGCGCCCTCCTTCGTCCTGCTGCTGATGGTAGCTGTTCGCAGAACTGCAAACACATAAGTTTTTATACTGTGCCAGCCCTTTATTTCATGGAGTGATTGCATAAAAAAATTAAAATTTAAGTCTGCGAGAAGACAAAATTTATTATGAAAGCTGAACCAAAGACACTTCAGAAGAGCAGTTCGTAAATACCTGTGCAGAATTGAAGCAAGCCCCCATCAGCTGCTTCAGGGTGTCTGCCTCCTCTTCAGGTGCAAGTTCCAGGGGAGCTGGCAGAGTCTTAACGTGGCAGAAGGCCTTCAGCTGTAAAGGCTCTCCATAAAGTGCTTGCCCAGGAGTTTTCTTCCACGTACACTTCTTATCTGTGGAGCTCAGCTCTTCCAGCCGGTGAATTCCCATTCTGCAAGATGAAACCGAAACCAAAAGTTGTTACAGATGAAGCAACCTGCCTGTTCTCAATTTTGATGTATGTACTGTTGCGTATGTTGACTCTTAGTTCCATCGAGCCACAATTAAGTCTGCGGTTGATGAAATGGCGAAACCCGACCACGTTAACGCACGGTGCGGTTGACCACAGCAGAGAAACGTTCAGGGTACCGCCCATTTCCCGAAATCGCGGTAGTCCTGATCGCGCGCGCTTAAAGCCGAATCGACTATCGTGCTTTAATGAGAGACGTCAACGTGCGAAAACACCTGTGCCCGCGAGCACGCCCGCGCCCATAAAAGTATCGGCGAGCAATGATCAGGGATGCCGTAAGGCCATCTCGTACTCGCGCCGCACAACGAGGCCCGTTTGTGGGTACATACCTGTTGCAATGTAGAAGAGCGGCCACTGTGTGCTTGCAGCATTCCGACGGGCCTGCCACGCACGAGCAGATTGCCCTCTCGACTCTGAACTTGCAGCTGTCACCTCCCGCAACAAGCTCCACGTTGATTTCATGGGGGTCTCCCCTCACGCTGCTCGTCGCGAGGCACAAGGCAAAAATACTTAACTTGTCCTCGGACGATGTCGTTTTTCCGCAGAGGAAAAGGTGACCTGCCTGAAGTAGACGGTCTGCCTCCTCATAGCAACGCGAATATTTCGTCGCATTCGCAAAATCCGGAATGCTAGTCAGTAGCAAGGCTCTGCCCGCATCTTCGACCCTCAATACTTCCGCCATTTTGAAACTGCAACAGTACCCCCTATAGTTAGTTGGAGTCGCGAAGCGTCGTAGCTGAGACTAGGTGAAGGAAAACCAGACAAGCCTGGGGCGTGCGAGCGCTTGAGACTCGACTTGAGACGCCACTCCGCGTGTGCGCTAGCTTCGGCAACGCTTTCTTTCACCTAGTCTTAGCCGAGAAGCTGCCTCTAGAAAGCCCACCCTGAGCCCACGGCGCGCCCGGAACGGGCGTGCTCTCATGCGTGTTGAAGATTGTGATAAAAGGAATAAGGGAGCGACAGGCATATAATGGTCGACTTCTTAAGCCTGGTTCAGACAGCTGTGTTTGACTTCGTTGCGGAAGTTTGCGTCCAGACACGACCGCGAGTCAACGAGATATTTGTGCTTCAAATGAAGCGTGGCAGCCAACTGAAGAAGTAAGTAAAAGCGAAGTCGTTGACGGGCAAGACCGCGAGGTTCCCTGTCCCATCGGAGACGCGTGCGAGCCGCAGCCGACCACCGCCATCGAAACACTCCATTACCTAAAATAATGTTCCTCCTTGAGCCCCGTCTTTTGATAGACACCGACAACTTAAGAAACCTTCACACTTCTTTCTTTGTGATTCGTTCTTCGGCGTCGTGGTCGAATAATATTGTCGCGATCTGATGGGCTGCGGAGGCGCGAGCATGTTAGCTTCACAAACACGTTTGCTTCAAACGTGTATGCATAGTGCTTTCTATGGCCAACGTGACACGACCATCATTGAAGCAGAAAACACGCATCAGACTGTCTGCAGGCGGTCTTTTATATAATGTATTAACAGTGTGTCAGCGGCGTTAGGTTGTAGGTGACTATATATGGCGACCAAATAGTAAACCTTTATGGTCACTGACGGGCCAAGAAGCGCAGGGCGTCTATTCTGGATGCCTTCAGAACACATTCGTTGCTTTCCGTCGTGTGTTGACTGCTCGTGCGGTCTCGAAGCTTACAGACGCCCATGTGTAATGCACGGTGGGAACTTCACGCTAGAGGCGATGACAACTGAAAGACCTTTCTGCAGTTATCATATCGGTGGATTCACTCGCAGGTACGCTGGATGTATCTCCTTGCGGAAGCTCTCGTTGCGGTTGAGCGAGACGTCACCGGCCGCCAAATTTAGACTCAAATGGTCGTACTTACGAAGGTGTAGACGACGGAGAGTTTGTCTGCCTTAAAACCGGGCCTGCAGGAGTTACCGCTGTGGACGGGCAATTGGGCTAGTTAAGTTTAACTGCTAACCTCAGTGACGTCTTTGACAGGCGTATCGCGGTAGTGATCCTCTCTCGAGCCGAAAGAGCCAGAGGCAAAAATCGAACCGAAGAGAACATGTTTTCTGAACATGTTATTGAACAAACGCGAATGGGTATTAGTTCTAATATGGGTTTGACGTCCTGATATTACACTTTCTTCGGACGAGGTTTCGAACACGCCCCCCTTGTAGAAAGCCGTATTTATTGCGTTAGGTCCGCATAATTGGTAAAAGCAAGCGAGTTGAACATGAATACTTAGAATAGAAAGAATAAAACGCGGAAGACAAGCACAGGACAACTATTCAGGTTCTTTCATTTATCAGCCTATCTTAGTTTGGATCTCGTTCAGAGTGCAATTTTCCCAAAAAATGAGCGTTGTTTCTAAATCAAAAAAGTGGTTGTCCTGTGCCTGTCCTCCGCGTTTTATTCTTTCGATTTGAAGTGCGCATAATATCTCACATTTTTAGGACTAAAAGATGCCAGTCCCCGGAGGCGACCGACATTGTGTTAAGATTTTAAGAATAATGACAGAAGCAAGGACACTTTAACAGCTTACTTCTCTTCGAAGGATTTATGCTATGGCTATGCTTGCAGCGTGGTACAGTCATGGGCGTGGCCAGCGATGCCGGAGGAACGTGCGGTCTTTGACCTCCGTAAGACACCGCGGAAGCGCCCACTTCGTTCAAGCGCCTCCTCTCAACATTTCCCAAACCTGAGAATTCTATAAATTATACGTGAAGCGCCAAATTTGACTGCAGAAGCGCCCATGTCTATATTAATTCATTTTCAGTGGGGTTGAGATACTCCGGTATTTTTACGGCATACCATCGCGCGTCACGCTGGCGGCAATAGGAAACACGCACTCACAGAGCGTCGGCCGGTTGCGAGATAACAATCTATATCTTCGAACCCGCCACTTCACCTTGCAATTCTCGACAGCACTGTACCCGTCTGTGCTGCTCCTTACAGGACGTCGACAGACGCTAAGCTCGCTTGAGCGACCAACGCTACTCACAATAATGGAGGCCCGCGAACTGTCGGCAACGCAGCGATTGGACCCGAGCCCGACGCCGGGCGTCTTTTGACGCGATGATTAGACACGAGGGCTTAGCCGAACTCTGACGCAGCGCTAGTGTCCCATCTGTGTTTCTGCGCTCGATCTCATTGCAGGATGACTTCGAAATTCTATAGACCACAAGCTTTGATTATTCGAGGTGGTGTTGAAACAGCCCCACCCTCGGCAGGACTAATAATATACGGCGTACAAGTCCGTCTGTTATTCGCGCACCTCATACGATTGTTTGCCCCTCCCCCAAACACACCCACGTGCTTTTGTTTGCCCCCGACCTCAACCAATCACGGTGTGCGCTTGACTGCCACGTCGTCGAGCGTTCGATCTCTGGGCGTTCTCTATGTTGCCCTTTGATTGGCGTGCCCCTCCTTGCATTCCGGAACCCCGAAGACGCATTTCGGAGCACTTGCTCGCCGTATATACCCACTGCTGCCGGCATGAGGCGCGCGCATGGTCCGAGCCCACATTTTCCTGTTACTTCGCTGGCTTCTTCGAAAACTACTTAAGAGCTGCGCACAGATGTACAGCAGCATCAATTACGTTATTTTGTTATAAGACTTTCCGATCTCACTCATTACAAAGAAGTGCGTCCGTTGAAACTCAGGCGTGACATACAGATTCTTGACAGAGCCACTATTTGGTTAACTGCCATTTGGAGCCGCTAAGGGCGAATCCGGGTGGTCAATCGACGGCAACTTATTGTTCCGGAAAACCGGCAATAGCGTTCGCCTGGTCAGTTTCCGGCCGGCACGGATTGTTCGGGTGGTGGTTTTCCGGCAAGCAACGGCAACTTTCTGGCGCTTTTTCCGCCCGAGCTCTGAACGGCCGGGCGAGCGGGCGCCAGACTGTATTCGGTGTCACCACCTCCAATATTGGAGAAGAGATCAGTGAGAAAAGATTCGCGAAAGACCGAAATTGATTTGGAGTCGCTTCAGCAGCCAATACTTGGGTCAATCCAAGCCGTTCGGACATGGTGACGGTGGCGACAGCCTCTCGCTAGCGTTGCCTGCCTTGCGGGCAAGCGGCAAAGTATACGGCCACCGTCTGGCGTTCATGTTTGGGTGCCGAGGGTCACGTGGTGTGCCGCCGGCGTGTTTCTGGTTTTCGGTGCCACCGGCTCGGTCTCGCCGGCGATTGACCACCCAAATTCGCCGTTAGTATGCTACGCCCCAAAGTAACGACACTCGGAGCCATCTGGCTGCTTAAAATCGGGGTTGCAAGTTACCTGAAACTTTGTATGAAATCGTAGAGAACCTTTTTTGTTTTCTAGAAAATGTTAAAAAACAGTTCGCTAGAAAGGAAAACGATATCGGCTTTGCTTTTCAAGACCATATCTAAAGCAGGGGAAATTACATCGCTAAATAGAAACAATTGCCATCTGCACCCGCTCTGCACTGAGCACAAAACATGGCGGCGCCCAGAAGAAAATCGGAGAAAGGAGTGTCGCTACTCTCAGTCTATATATTGTGGCTCTAGTGCCAACAACTCCCGGAAACAACAACGACCCAGTGAATTCCAATTATTGCACCCGATACAGGCCTCACAATATGAGCAGCACTACAACACGAACAGGGCACCGTTCAAACTTTTCCTGAGTGAAGAGTGGTTGAAGGATCCCAAGCGCCAGAAGGGCTACATGGCCTTCGTGAAAAGGCTACTGCAGAAGGAAGACGTCCGCCTGGTTACTGTGTCCCAGGACCTCGAGTTCATGAGGAATCCGGTGCCTTTGAGCAGCTACAACCAGCGTCAATGCGAAAAGCAGGACGATAGGACACCCTGTTCCAACCCGACGAAGTGTTCGTGCCACTGATCTCTATTGTAGTGGGCTGGATCGCGGATCGGAAGCCCGTTGATGTCGCCACCGGCGGTCATTGCTTGACACCAGGCAATACACGGAAGTCTATGGGAGAAACGCGCTAAAGTAAGAATATTGAAGCATGTACGTTGTGCTCGGGGGCGAGTATCTCATTGTGTTGTGCGATGCTTATGTGGGGTCTTCGCAGATCGAATCGGTATTTGCCAAACGTTCGAACGCCGATTAAAAACAGTCAAACGTACCGGAGCACCTACGGCTAAGCTGGCAAGCTTGCTCTCGTAGTGGAGTAAACAAACGAACTTGCCGTGAATGGGACCGTCCTTGTGGAAGCCCAGCAGTTGATGAATGACAAAGAAGTTCCATCTCGAGACCGGCTTTCCGGGAGTGAGCGAATTCCGCGTAGCAAAGCCCTCCGAGCTTGTCGTCTGCTAAACCCAACTCAACGAAACCACCAGCGACCCCGCGGTAGTTCGAGGTAACCCTTGCCTCATTGAGCTGCACTACATTTTTGGCCCAGCGGAGTCACTCTCAACCACCAAATATTTATTTATAAGAGCTGCGAGGGCTGTCAGTTTTAATGTTTGTACGCAAACTATTTGACGGGCTTATCGAAAAGCGGCCAAAAGGTTTCAGTGCCGACAACAGCTTAGAAACGGGGGAAACGGCCCTTTTTCTCGTTCTTCCCATAGAGTCCCATGCATTGGCTGGTGTCAATCAATGGCCGCCGGTGGCGACACTCTGCCCCAGCTGCCGAGGCAGCGGTCCGCGATCAAGCCTACTACAACAGAGATCAGTGGTTGG